CTCAAGCCCTGAGTTCAGCATTTTTTTTCAGCAGCTGCCTTGAAAGTGACGCTATGGGGCCTGATGTTAAGCCCCACACGCTGGGATCAGAGAGGCCCGTTTCACAGACATTCCCTAGATGAGGACCTGGGTGTTGGCTCTCTGGGGCTGCTACAGTGAAGTATCACACAGACTGCGTGGTTGATAGGGAAATGAACTTGACTGCAATCTGGAGGCTGGAGTTTTGAGGTCGCGGTGTCAGCTGGTGGTGTCTCCTGAGGCCCGTCTCCTTGGCTGGGCGGCAGGAGCCTTCTTACCGTGTATCCTTACACGGCCTTTCCTCTGTGTGTGTCTATATCCTAATCTTCTCTGCTCATAAGGACACAGATCAGATTGGATTAGGGCTCACCCTAAAGATCCCATGTGAACGTAATCACCACTTCACAGGCTCTGTCTCCAAATAAGGTCCCGTTCTGACACTCAGGGGCTCGCACTTCCGCTTCTAGATTTTGAGGGAACACTGTGGCCTGGTTTACTTCAAACGTGCTGAGCCTCCGTTTCCTCACCGACGAGATGGGGCTAAACAGGGTGTTCTCAGGGAACGGCAGGGTGACCACCTCGAACAAGGCTCACAGCGCTTGCTCAGCACCTGGCCCCTCACAAACGCTCAGACGTCACTTTCCTGCAGTGGGGGAAAGAGGAGCCATGGGCTGCTAGCACCTTCCTACCCCTTGGTCCACCCTAGAGGAGCTGTGCTGGGTCAGAGGTGAGAGGCCAGCTGCTCTCTGAGAGGGCGTCTGCTTCCCCTGTCAGTGGTGGGTGGAAGGATGGACGCCCCCTCGACGCCATGTCTGGCCTGGGCCGCTCTTTCTGGCTCTTTGCCTTCTGGCCACCCTCCTCATTTTCCTGTCCCAGCTCCGGCTCCCAAAAGCCAACAGAGGTACGAGGCACGGCCTATGACCTCCAGCTGGCCAAGCCTCCCCACGCTCCTCCTGTGCCTGGACACCCTCCTGCTTGGCCTCCCGTGGGGATTCTTGCTTTCTGAACACATGTGCTTTCAGGCCTCCAGGACTGCCCTGGCAGTGCCTGGTCGAGGACACCCTCCTTCCATTCTTTCCAGGGGACCTGTTCCTTCTGGGGGCAAATCAGACCTTTTCTAGGAACTCTTATAATGCCCCCTTCCTCTCCCTGCTCAAAGCTAAGCCCTGTACTAAGCCCACATAAAGCCTTGGAACAGATAGTAATAATGAGGGTGCTGGTGAGGTGCCCACAGAAACAAAGTAACTGTCTCACCCACTCCCCACCATGCACACCGTGACCCAGCAATCCTCAAGGGTGGAGATGAACTGCTCCTGGGGTCCTCTGGGCAAAGGTCCCCTCAGACTAGATGAACAGGGCGGCCTGAGGAAGTGTCTGGGGTGGGCGGGGTGGCCAACGACCACTGGGTGGCCCGATCCTGACTACGGAAAATACAGCCAGACGTGAAAATACAGCCAGACGCCCTACAACTGAAAGAGAATGTGACACGTGCAATTGTCTCTATGTGAAGTGGAATCTGGGGGACATACTCCAGCTGGCTATAGGGGCTGCCCCGGAGAGGGAAGGAAAATGACAACCAGGGGGTGGCTTGCAAGCACACCTGGTTATTTCTATCCAGAGATGGAAAGAGAGGCAAGAGACTACCTCACTAGGGTCTCATGAAGCGTAGCCCACTCCCCACCAACCTTCTAGCCAGCCATGGTCTAGGGTGCATCCCCGGCCTGCCTGATGTGTCCGGATCCACCTGGGATGCAAACCTTGGGTCTCGCCAGGGCCCAGCACCTCACAGTGGCACCTCCCAACAGCTGCAGGCCCTCAGTAGGGATACATTCCACACCAGGCCCTGGTGTGACCACACACGCACACACACACACCCCTACAACTGAAACCCAGGGGCAGGCACCACAGGTCCCCTGGGTGAAGGCCTGCTGGACATCTTATTCATTCTACCCCAGTTTTTACAGTGGCTGACTTGATCTGATAAACTGATTCCATGGCCCCACCGCTGGGTCCTGGTTTACAGCTCGGGAAAGCCTTCTCTGAGAGACGCTCGCACTTTCTGCTCCGAGTCTTGTAAAGTTTCATAGTGAGATTGGACTTCTGTGTTATCTTTGTATTTTCCACTTAAAAATAAAGAAGAGTGAGCACTGGGGAAATAAGAAACAATAAAAACCAGACTTTCCGGAAGACAGTTTAGCAAAATGTGGCCAAAAAAAGACATCTTCAGAGCTGAGTGTGCCTGGGACTCGCTATTTCAGCCGAGAAGTGAGCTGGCTAGGGGCAGGGGAGGGGTTTTTTTCTCAGCGGGCTGGTCCCCAAGCACAGCAGCCCCGGCACGGAGTGCCCACTGCAGGCGCCCTCCCTGGTAGTCTGGTTGACAAGGTGCTGTGGCGCCTGACTGGAAGGAGGGGTAAGTGAGGGTGGCGGCGTTAAGGAGTTAGGGGCAGGCGGCGCCGGGTGGGGTGGCGGAAGTCCTCTCGCTGTCCGACACTGCGAATTTACCCGCGTGGGCGAGAGCGCGCGCTGAGGTGGAAGTGCACTCACCCGCCGGGAGCTACCTTGGGTCGGTTTTCTCTCGGGATTTCAGCAAGGAGCACTCACTAGTTTTAGAGAAGGGAGGTTTTCAAGGAAAAGGCAAGAAAGAAGGAAAGGAAGAGAAGAAACACAAAGATGAAGAGGAGGTGAAGGAGAAAGAAGGGAAACCCGGGGAGACGGACTCCGCTGGAGCGGCTAGGAGCGGACCCC